TTTGAGGGAAACCACCTGTAAAAGTAGTTGATTTTACACTTTTCCAGAGCGTTAAATGTTAATGAAACATGCATGTTGGAAGAAATTGTGAGCACCTTTTCCATTTTTCGTGGTTTTTAGAGGTCTACTTTTTCAAAGGCTTCTTCTTCTAAAGGTGGTAGGCAAGATCCCCTTAATTATAGCAATTACAGTAAATATTTTTCCTACAAAGATCTTCGTTACTGCTTTTTTATGAAAGGTGGATCTTGGAAAAATGAAGTACGCCTACATTCCCTTCCAGATCGAATTTTCACTGACATTGGACGCGACGAAAAGAAGTTATTTTCGGTGAAAATTCAGAACTTTCGCGAGCTCTATTACCGGAAAAAAAACTTTTTCGGAGAAACTTTGGCAGAGCTAATAAGTCTTATTTTGACCTCAGGAATCGATCCTCAAAAAATTGCGCATTTATTCATGGAAAAAGAAACAACTTAATACGGGACTAAGGCCGCAAATAATAAAAAGAAACACATGAAATAAAATAAAACGTCCCGGGCTTTTTATTTTATCTGCTTCTTATTATTATTTGTGGCCTTCATCCCGTTTCAAGTTGTTTCTTTGTCAGTGTTTCGGGCCGATTAAGTTGTATTTTCTATCTTTATTCCTGGACACTTAGTAAAATTGATCAGTTGCACTGACCTTAGAATCGCGTTTTGTTGGTTTGAGCTTATAGATTGACAACAAGTAATAAGATCTGTTCTAACGTCAAACTTCTACGTTAAGTATGAACGGATACATTGCTTAGCGGAATGTCGTCGGCGTATGTCGTCATCCACGGCCGTAGTGCATACCATGGTTGCTTCCACTTTAGTTTTATCCGTCCTCCACGTTAAGCAACCAATGCAAATGTATGTTACACCCACTGATGAAACCAAGGCGGAAGAAAACATTGTATGTGCAACCGTGATGGATGACGTCAAATGCCGTGTTCTTAAACGAGCGTCATCTCCGTTAAGATTGGACGTAGAAATTTGGCGTTTGAACAGCAGATCTCGTTATTTTTTTGCCAATCTATAAGATTAAACCATTAAAACACGATTCTGTGACTGGAGCAACTGACCCACTCTTTGCTTTCCTTGGCTCATGTTAAAATTGCAAGGCGTCTCTGTATTAAACATTGACAGATTTGAGCATTATTTCTGAAAAAGCACACCTCAGTAGGAGGTTGTTAATCAAGTCGTTTTAACTTCCACCGCGATGTCTCGACAAGCGAATAATGATGGGCCCTCAGACGAAGAGCAAATTTAAGCATTGTAATGTATTTTTCCTCATCAAAATGTCGCATAACACGATTCCCTCGACAAAAATTACTGGAAGTAACGCCTAACATAGATATTAAAGTTTTTCCATGCATAAAATCAATCTTCTTGCTCATGAAAAAACCATAATATATTTGATGTGTACGTCTGGTTTTTCGTGTGAGCGGGAAATTAAATATTTCATAACCAGCGCTAAATGAAAATGAAAACCTTGGCCAGGAGCTAATTTCACTGATTTTTATTGCGCTAATCGTGCTCTACGTGAAATTTTTCAGAGGAAACATGAAAGTGTCGTGGCGTGAATGATCGCTTATCGATTTATCCCCATTTGAAGATATGGTAAAGAATCAATCACTATGATGTTCGTTGCGAACACCCTGACAATCCTTTTCCATAGGTTTAAATGACAGATAAATCGATGTATCACAAAGCACGCTCCGCCACGGAATAACTATAATAATTGAATACGCACGTACGATAATTAGTGGCCCATTAAGGTGATTCCACGGTTGCCATTTTTTGTGTCAGAGCGACGTGCGATATATCGCATCAATTCGTTCCATAATTTCAGCCACTTTTCATTTTATTCGAATTTTGAGATCGCACTTCTGTTGTCATGAGACTAAAGAATTCATGTACCAAATTTGACGTAGAAAATCAGCGCATGAAAGGCAGGGTTTTTTCAGAGGAAAAATATCGCGTTCGAGTGCAGTTTCGATATCAGTATCGAATGCTATATTTTTCCTCTAAAAAATCCCTGCCTTTATTACATTAAATTTCTGCGTCAAATTTGGTACCTGAATTCTTTAGTCTCATGACAACAGAAGTACGATCTCAAAATTCGAAAAAAATGACAAGTAGCTGAAATTATGGAACGAATTGATGCGATATATCGCACGTCGCTCTGACACAAAAAATGGCAAACCGTCGAATCACCTTAATGACGTGCGTGGCAGATTGAAAAAACCAATTCCAAAAAATCGTCGCAAAGTGACATGTTCAAGACATTTTACCAGTTTTTTAAGTGTTTTGCTGGCCAAATAATAATTCACGTATCGTTAGTCAATATTCTCAGAATCCTGCGAAGGTTCATAAGAAGCTTCGCTGGAATACTTGTGTTAGGCAGAGTCATGTTATGCCCTCATCTTGCCAGTAAGGAACTTAAAACCAAAGAGCATACAATTAAATTAAATTACAATTTTACTAATTTTTCTTCATACTTCAGGTATTACAGCAGTGTCTGAATCACCTACACGTAACGACTTTTCCGAAAGATATTGTCATAAGTGAGACTTAGTGACGGATGAAATACAATTTTAAACATAAATGGGTGAATGTTCAATTCAGGTATTTCTGGAAACACTAACCCACACATTTCTAAAAATAACACCCGTTTCGTAATATAAAATTTTAGTAGTCACTCAAAGTTAGTACGAGACTTTAGGAGAGATACTTTAATTTTGAAATATTTGTTAAGGCGATGATTATCTCTTAAATACTATTTACGTTCATTCGCACTCTTTAACGGCACAGCAGTAAACAACGTTAAAATTTGTTAGGATGTTTCTTCTGCTGCAAAATGTTAGGTTGACATACCATTAAAATTACAAAATCAGATGACCATTAAATTTTCAAAAATTTTAAAATTTCGTGGCCAAATGGAGATGTTCCATGTGTGAAGAATTTGCGATTTGACCATTGACTCTTATGCAAAAGTTCGCGAAAAACACGATGGTGCCACTGGTTTTCTCTGAAATCAACTCCCAAGCTCAGAAAAAGCTCTCAAGTTCAAGCCAAAATGGAGGGGATATCCCACGCTATCCTGATAGTCCACCTCCGCATCAATACAAATTCTCCATGCAAAGATAGGAAGCAAATACATTGACAGGGCTGCCACTTTAAATGGGGACTCCAAACCTGAAAACACGGCAACCCTGCTGATGTATTTGCTCCCTATCTTTGCATGGAGAGTTTGTATTGATGTAGAGGTGGACTCTCAGGATAGCATGGGATATCCCCTCCATTTTGGCCTCAACTTGAGAGCTTTTTTTGAGCTTGGGAGTTGATTTCAGAGAAAACCAGTTTCTCGCGAACTTTTGCATAAGAATCAACAGTCAAATTGCCAATTCCTCACACATGCAACATCTCCATTGACTTATCACCTCCTTTATGAAAAAATGTATCTGCGAATCTCAACGGAAAAAAGCTAATATTTAACAGATCTTTACAGAAAAATTCAATTGATGATCTTTAGTTTGCTTGGCACACTGCCGTCCACGGCAAAAAAGTAACACTCCGTTCCACTATATACACAAACAAGTTACTTCGTGAGGAAATCTACCTATGTCCGTGCTTTATTTTTCCAGTATGACTTCTCATTGGTGCGGCACGATTACTTGCCACAGTGAAAGCAAAGTAAGAGCCCAAAACATGATGAGGATGAGAAAAAGCCATTAAAAATGGGTGACACATAGTTTTTGGAAAACTGCTCAAGGGGGAAAAAGTAATAAATTGAGCGATGCGATGGTATGTCTCACCAAGAAAACGGGTAACTATAAACAAAAAATTTCAGAACTCCAGAACTCCTAATAGCTCCATAATATCTCGGAGCAAAATGTGGTTGTTGAGACCCCCAAGTCCAGGTCTAGTATCCATTGGTCGTGTGTTTATAACCCAAGTCTAGTCCTTAAAGTTATCTGAATTTTTCAACCTTGCTTACCCATGTTTTGTGTGTTTTTATCCCAAGTTTATGTCCTCTAACTATCTGGATATTTTGGCCTTGATTATTAATTTCACATGTATTTACATCTAAACAAATAATGAGGATTAATTTTAGAACTTTTACCTGCTTTTTGTTCCTGATCTCTTGGTTTTGTCTTATTCTTTATTATTGGACGATGACCATTTCGAGAGTTGTTCTCCATGCTTTGATCAATCCATGTTACAGAGGACTTGAAGATGGGGAAGGCAACTCCCAAAATGGTCATCGTCCGATAATAGAGAAAAAAACTAAAAAAACCAGGAGGTCAGGAACAACAAGCAGGTAAAAAATAATTTTGGAATTTTTTACTTAAAAATTCCAAAATTATCTTGAGTCCTAATAAGGAGGAAAAAATAAAAAAAAATGTAAAAGAGGATGAATGTTTGCTGGTTATTTTTTTTTTCGATAGAACGCTTCGACGATGGAAACGAGAGAAAAAACGAGAACTATAACCCAGAGTAAAAAATTTGCAGGTGTCTGAACTTCAAGGAATTTCGTGTTAGAGTGGAAACTATAGAGTGAACTGAACACGAGGGTAGCCTTGGCTCATAAATTTAACAATTATTTGAGGAGACATGAAAAAAAGATTTAATAACTAAAACGCTTGTGTTTGAATAGAAAATGCCGCCACGTGACGTCACTAGGCGGTGAATTTTTTTAATTTAAATCTATACCATACCATTTATATCAGAAAAAAATTATGAAAAGTACAGCAAAATCAGCTCTTTAAAAACCCTCAAAGAATGCAATAAAAAATTTGCGTGCAAAATCTCCATCACGGCGTTATCGCTACAGCGGCGAACAGAGTGCCATCGGCGAGTCTAAAGGCGCACACGTAAAGTCGGTTGCCTATCGGGGCGAACGAAGGCGCACACGTAAAGTCGGTTGCCTATCGGGGCGAATGAAGGCGAAGTAAGCAAGAAGCAAGAGCGTGGACTTACCTTCGTGCAAAACAGGTGGAAGACGCACAGTAACTGCCGTGTCGGCTGGATCCGGCCTTTACAACAGGTGCCCTGCCCCCCGCCCCCCTCGCGGGC